TTATCATTATTATTATTATTATTATTATTATTATTATTATTACTATTATTATTATTATTACTATTATTTTCCTGAGTTCTCACAGCTTAAGCTGGTAGTATCTGGGCCACCTCGAATGATGTTTATAGATGGTGGCTCTGGGTGGGAATGAAATTCATCATGACCTGCCCTCAATTTCCTATATCGATAAAAACTTTCTTGTAATCCGACAAGTGTCGAGGATCACTGCCTTCTGCAGTTGTATACATGTACCCTTTGGAAGGTTCAACACTTTCAAATTCTCCGACAAAGCGTTCGTGGCCACCCCTTCCACTGATATGATGATGGGAATAATCGTTACTTCTTTTAACTTCCACATCCGTGCTAATTCTATTTTGAGGTCTTGATATTTGGAGCATTTCTCAGTTTCCACGGACTTAAGATTATGCGTAAGTGGAACCGCAATGTCGATTATGATTCCGTTTGTTTCTGTTTGTCTATAAGGACTAAATCAGGTCGATTATGCTCTATGCGCCTATCAGTGGTTATTGGGCGGTCCCAATACATCAATAGGTTCTAATTTTCTAGAACGGACACAGGGTGATATTTGTAGTAGGGCACCTTTGCTTTTATTAGACCTTCTTTGTGTGCGATTAGCTGATGTATTATTGCGGCTACTTTGTTGTGTCTGCCTAAGTATGCATCTTTGGCCAGGTTAGGGCATGCTCCTGTGACATGTTCGATTGTTCCGCCTACTGTATCGCACTTACGGCACTTATCAGTGATAGGGTTCTTCAATATATGCTTGTCATAATTTCTTGTGCGGATAACCTTATCCTGTATAGCACAGATAAACCCTTCAGTCTCTGGGTGTAAGAAACCACGCTGGAGAAACGAGAACGATGTTTTTGTGTCAATACCAACTTTCTCCATTTGAGACGGATACCTGCCATGCAATTGTTTGTTCTTCCAAGATTGCAACCTTTCTCTTGTTGCATTGCATGTGGATGGCTGTTGCAACTGTGACATATACGGGGGAGTTGCGTTGCAATCTGCCTCTTTGATTAGTTGTACTAGAGCGCTATTTTGATTTAAGAAATACTCCCGAAGATGCATGATTTGTGTGTGGCACATTTGGGATACGTTGATTAGTCCTCTGCCGCCTTCATTGCGGGGCAGGTAGAGCCACTCCACAGCAGAGTTAGGATGGAGCATACGAAACTTTGTCATGGACCTCCTTGTTCAGTTCTTCCAGATCGGTGTTGCTCCATTTAACGACACCAAAAGAATAAATTAGGGCTGGGACTGCCCATGCATTAATAGCTGATATCATATTTTTGGAATTCAGGTTGGTGTTTAGCAGTTTAACAAGGCGTTTTCTATATTTTTCCATTAAGTCCTTTTTGATTTCGCTGTGATTTAGTCCCAGTTGCTGTTTGAGCCCTAAGTATTTATACGAACCGCCTTCATCCAATTCCTCAATGTCATTTATTATATCGCCCATATTAATGATGCGTCCTTTGCTGGCATTAACAGTTGCGCACTTTTCTATACCGAACTCCATGCATATGCTGTTACTAAACAATTTAACGGTGGTAATCAACGAGGTTAGCTGCTGCTTTGATTCTGCGAGCAGTTTGATGTCATCCATGTAAAACATATGGTTAATTCTGACTGCACTATTCTTCTTAATTCTGTATCCCACGTTGCTGTTGTCGAGTATCGTCGAGAGGGGGTTTAAGGCTAAACAAAACCAGGTTGGGCTCAATGAATCGCCTTGGAAGATCCCTCTGGATATGCTCAGTTTGCCTATCATCTTGCCGCTGATGCTAAGTTGTGTCGTCCATAAAGTCATAGAATGCGATAATAATGCTCTGATCGATGGATGGATCTTATATAGTTCCAGAACCTTGCGTAGCCAGTTATGAGGTACAGAATCAAATGCCTTCGTGAATTCGATATAGCATGCATGAAAGTTCCGGTGGTTAGTTCTCACATGGTGCGTAATCACAGAATCCATTATCAGTAGCTCCTTACATCCTCTAGATCCACGAGCACATCCTTTTTGTAGAGGTGATATTATATCATTAATTTCGCAATGATTGTAGATTTTGTCATTGAGTATAGCTGTCAGAAGCTTGTATATTACAGACAGGCAAGTAATTGGTCTGTAATTCCTTGGGTCTGTTGTACTTCCCTTTTTGAGCAGCAAGTGGGTAATTAATATACTTAAGAAATTGGGAAGCGATGAAGGGTCTGAACCTTATCAGGGCCGGGCGCCTTCCAGTTCTTTGCTTTCTTGAGTACATTCTTAATATCGGCTGTCTCTATTCTTGGCTCATCCATGTCTGGCACTGCAACGATCTGTTGCTCAATTTGACTAAGCCATGGTGCTTGGAGATCTGCTTCATTCTTATCGCCCCATATTTTACCCCAGTAGTCGATAGCATCTTGTTCTTTACACTGTGCCTGTGACAAATTATTAGATGTAGTTGGGCTTGTAAAATTACTGAAGAACTGTTTCTGGTTTTGTGAGAAACTGCGATTCTGCTTTGCTCTGTTTGTGGCTTCGTTGTACCTTTTGAGCCTTGCGCCTTGGCCTTTTGGCGGAGCTCATCCATGATTTCTGTCAATTTCTGGATGTTTTCCCGGTCTTTTACTTCTATCCGATACTCTTGACATATGGCTTGCATTTTATAGTTAATTTTGGCTGATCTCGTGCCTTTAATATATTCTGGCTCCTCTGGGGGACGTCTTATTGGGTGGTCCGAAAGTATCTCGCGTGACAATTTTTGGCCATTATCTTCTAGTACCGCAACAGCAGCTGCGTAGATAGCTAGGTGTATATTTGCGAGGTTGTCCTCATCTTCCAGGTAGGCTTTCAGTATGTGATTCATAGCTGTTATTAGTTGAGCCGTGTCTGGTTTCGATATAAGTTTTGGCAGTCTCGGTCTTTGATTTGGGTCAACCATTTCGAAGAATCTTGTGTTGCTAATAAATTTGTCGCAGTAGGTTGAGGTAGTTTCTTGTTCTTCAGTTTCTGTGGTAGCCACACCTGCTTCCTCCATCTGTATTTCCTCTTCTTCTCTCTTAGCAGAAATATGATTACCTACCTCCCTTCTGATCTCAGCTATTTCCGAAGGTGTTAGGTAACCTTTTCTCTTTATGACGTGTAGCCTATCAGCGACGTTTTGTTCGGTTCGTTTCAAATCAGGGTAAAGTTTATTAAACTCAGCATGCAGCAGTACCCTCCATCCGGGAGGAGGAGGATCCATACATCTCGTTACGTAATAAAAGGACCTCATTACGTCTTTTTTCATCTGCGGTGTCCATTTAATACGTTTCAACTTTCCTGCCCTAGCAGCAGCATCTCCTCCATGAGTTGGAGCCTGCGAGCCACCAGGTAGAGTGTGACTATGTTCGTCAGTCACAACTACAGTCGGCCCCTCATCTGGATTTATCCGATTAGATCGATTTTTTTGAGGATTTCGCTGGGTAACGACCTGGGTTACCTCAGAGGCTACAACCACGGTTGCAGCCTCACCCCTGCCGGGCGCGACACCACTAACCATGAGGTCCGTGGTCCCGTATACGCCGTTTGAATCTTCCGAGGCAAAATGTTTTGTTTTCTCCATAACTACAGGTGTTTCCCCCTTTTTTTTGCAGACGGCCCCATATAAATGCCGGCATGCGCGCATTACGCATGATTTTTCTTAAAGCGCCTTCGAAGGAAGGGAGACTAAAGCTCCTGGCGCATGATGAAAGACCGCTGGCTGTACCGTCTCTCCTTGATGTTATTACGGTAGCAGGTTTGATACCGCCGGCAACAGTACCCTAACCGGCCAGACATATTTATTATCATTATTATTATTCTTATTATTACTATACACTCCTTTATAATAATTTCGATATAGGAAATAGAATCAGACATTTAATCTTGTACACGTTGACTGCCACCATGGACTGAAAGAAAATGCCCTACTAGCCGTAAGACAATTTTTCCATGATTCCTCTCAAAATAATCTAAAATCCAAGCAGGATAAAAATAAAACCCTAACAAAAATAAATAACGCTGTATTTACAACTATTTTTTTTTGTGGTGACACATTGGCATCACGCAGCTGGTCATGACTAGATTATGCCGGTTGGCCGCGTGAGACCAACGCATCACCACATTTTGCCTGAATGCATCGCAGTCTAAAGAGTTTTTCGCATATAACGGTTGAGTTTTCTTTTTATTAGTTTGATGAATAGTTTATAATACCCATTATAATCGAGACAAGTGGTATTATAACAATAATGTCATACGAGGCAGAACAAGGCAAGAAGATTTATGTAATGCCAGCCATACACGTAACGATATACTTGCGCAAACTTAGACTTGCACAGGTATACTGTAGCGTGTGTTGGAAGATTTTTGCGCAAGTGTCTAGACTTGTACAAGTTGCAAGAACGTTGCAATTTTCGGTTCCGAGACTTGTGCAAGTTTACGTTTGCGCAAGTTTACTTGAACGTGTGTGGCAACGAGCGTTCGCAGTTAGCGATGTCCTGCTGCTTGGTTGTACACACGCGTTGCGTTGTTCAGCACCAAAATGAGTGAGACACGTGGAGCTCGAGAAAATTTTGAAGAATTTATAAATGTGTTCAGAAATAAACCATGCCTCTGGCAAATAAAGAACAAACACTACCATAATAGAGATAAAAAAACCAAATTAGTAGAACTGTATAAGAAAATAGAACCAAGAGATATGATAGTTAAAAAAATTAATGGCTTACGCACCAACTACCGTAAAAAAAGAAGAAGATAGAAGAGTCTAGCCGATCTGGAGCAGGCACCAATGACGTTTATGTCGCAACATTATGGTATTATGATTTACTGAAATTTCTCGATGACGACCAAGGAACGCCAAGATTTTCTCGTTCCAACATCGAAGAAGATGATAGTTCTGAAGTAAGTACACGAAATTAGCTATTATATTTTTATTTAATGTAAATATTTACAAGGTAACATTTCTCTGTGTGTTATCTTGCCAAGGTACACTCCCCTCGTTATTAAAGTAATGTACATACTGTTCTCTAACATTTTTGGCAGCAGTTGCATTATTTCCAGAGTTTCGTCGATATAATGGCTCCATGTTTGAATCATGTGATGTTAAACCTGATGTAATAGTTCCATCTTCTAGGTTTTCGTGATCGAAACATTCTGCAGAACTATATGAATTCGATGACGACATTAAAAAGTTATGCAAAGCACAGCTTGCCATTACCACCTTATCAATGTTCTTGGGTTCTAGATTAATTTTAGTTTTATATATCCGAAATCTAGAAGCCGAGCTTCCAAATGCATTCTTTACAATGCGCCGCGCTCGAGAAACTCGGTAATTGTATATCTTTCTTTCGCGAGAATCTAAATCTGCCTGTCGGTATGGTTTTATCATATCTGTTCTCAAAGCAAAATCATTGTCGGCTACAAATACATAAGGAAGTATTTTGGAACTTCCTTTTATAGGTTCATCTGACGGGATACTTAATTGGTGTTTTTGAAGCTTGTCATAAAATGTAGCAGTCTGAAGCACACCTCAGTCTGATATCATGCCGTTAACACCAAAGCTGCACATTATAATTTGGTACCTAGCATCCACTGTTACAAGAAGTACCATACTGTGTCGACCTTTATAATTATAAAAATAGGAGCCACTTCCACTTGGAGGAATAATGTCTATGTGTTTCCCGTCTATGGCCCCAAGGCAATGTGGAAAATTCCACCTATTTTCAAAATGTTTTGCTATATTTTTCCGTTCATCTTCTGTTTGTGGAAACTGAAAGCACAGAAAGTAATAAACAGCGATGTTTTGCCATCACAAGATAGAGATGATAATTCTCCGGAAACAGCCAGTACCTCTTCAAAAATAACAAGTCGCCCTAGACCACCCAAAAGAAAAAGTAACAGTAATGCTCATTCATTAGATTCACCAGATTTATCTACCGACGTATTGCAAGTCGTAAAAGAGCATTTCAACCGTCCTTTGTTGAGCGAAGACCGATTTGATATTTTTGGCAAAAATGTCGCAATGAAACTGCGCGATCTACCAATACAGCAAAGGCTGATTGCTGAAAAAATTATAAACGACTCATTATTTCAAGCAGAAATGGGCAACTTGAGACTGCCACATGGAGAGCTCAATGTACGTGAGTTCTATCGCACAACTCCCAGTCCTCCAACATATCAGCCACAACAGTTTATTCGTGCAACTCCAACTCCCAGTCATTCAGCACACTGGCCACAACAGTTCATTCGTGAAATCCCAACTCCAAGTCCTCCAATACACCACTCACAACAGTTTAACCAAGGAACCCCAATTCTAAGTCCTCCAACACAACACTCACAGCAGTTCATGCATTTAGGATCAACTCTGTCTTCATTGCCACGCATCGAGCAAGAATGTAATGATTCTTCCACGCCTTCCAATCAGTACAATTCGGATTCACAACATTCGACTGAACATACTGAAGTGCAATTATCTATTCCAGAACAATCAGCAGGGGCATTTATATCCAGCTTCAATGATTGTCAATAAATGTTTAAGGATCAAAAACCTTTTACTCACCTTAAAATAATCCTTCCGCAGTACTTTGTATATCGCTTCACATGTGTCTGGAATAATAACACCCAACGCCTGGGGTGATATTATTGTTGTAAACTTCAGGTCTTCGTAACTCCTTTCAGTTGCGAGAAACCTCAGAGTTGCTGTCAATCTTTCGTGTGGCGATACAGCTTTTCGCATTACAGTATCTTGCTTTTTAATAAGTGGAGTAACCATCGATAGAAGCTTCAAGTAAGTTTCTTCGTTCATACGCAGGTAGTTATGCCAGTCTTTGGGTGCAAATTTCAACTCGTTCAGTAAATTGATGTGTGAATAATGTTCTCTTTTCATTAACCAGTCCTTACACCATATAGCTCGATGCCTTTTAGATCTTTTCAGTTTTTTGTAACAACTATCAAGCCAACTATCGCCATAGCATCATCAATGGGTGCCATCGATGCAAGACAACTCGCCTGCTCCATGACTTTCTCAAAAATGATCGGTCAAGTATACTTGCGCTGTGTGTGCTCGAGATAGGATGATGTGTGTTTGCGCAAGTCTAAGCTTGCACAAGTATATCGTTACGTGTATGGCTGGCATAAAGGCGAAATAGACGATGAAAACTTGTTTGGAGGAACATCATCAGATGAATATCAGCCTTCTGACAATACGATTGACTCTGATTTGGATTTAGGAAAGAAAAGACGAAAAAGTGAGAAATCTGTAAAAACGACATTTGTTTTCGATCAAAACCAACCGCCAACTTTGGGAGCTGTTGTGCAGAAGTTCGATGCTGCTAGTAGTGCCAGTATACACAACAATTGAAGATCTCATAGGTCATAAGTAAACGTTGCTATGCGTAAAACTCTGCAAACGACACTAAAATGCATAGGTTGCGAAAAGCACTAATGCTCAGATTGTTTCTTTCAGGTTCACATTTGTACCAGAATTAATTAGTATTTTTATTTTCACATGTTCTCGTTTTGTTTATCTATTTTATTTTATTTTTGAAAGATTTTTCATAATTGGTCTCACATGGCAGTCATCATGTTAAACAGAGATAGGATTAAGCACATCGTTAGCAGCAAGTGCAGACACTAGTCTAATTGATCTGTTTCGATTACAGACACTTGGCGTATCAGACACACTCTATGACTTAAAGTGGTATACAGGCACTATCCGAGAGATAAAAGATATTCGATTCATGATGGCTAGAAGTCAAATACCTGCAAAGCTGCCAGCCACACCGTTTGGACATTATCAATATGCTTTATTCATAACGGTAATAATGATATATCTATTATCATTTTTGAGATCATATTATATAATATTATATTCCAATAATTTATTTTGTTCGCCCATTAATCTTATATTTGTTGTTATTACAGTGACTTGTATTTTATTTTCAGATTATGAAGACGGCTTATTCCTATATGACGCTAATGAGAGGATAAAGAAGGGCAGATTTTATGGAAAAGTAACACTGTCTAATAAAACACCTATTTATCGCATTAAATCAAACATTTTATAACTTTGATTTGTTTGAACGTACATGGAATAGCAAGTTGCTTTTATGTTATCGAAAATAATATACTAGAGCTATCAGAAACTGACAATTTGTTGGATGGGTATCATTCAGTATGTAAGATCTAATTTAGATTTCAATAACGAACTATTGCTTCTATTTGATGTACTGAATCACTTGGGACTTCTTCGACTACTTGTAGTATGACGTCCTCGTTAGGAAAGGAAATTCTTCCTTTACCATGTGCTTGACATGGGAATCGTCCCTGTGAGAGTTAACGGTGCACATTCACAAAAACAAAGCATTTGGGTACCTCTCACGATAAAGACACGATGGCACTACACAACCGTGAATTCATACTGTACATATATGTTACTATCTGTCTTGCTGTCACTACATAGAATAACCCTGTCCGTCACTCTGTCTAAGAAAAAATTGAAATTTGTTGTGATGGAAACTAACACAAGATGAACATTTTTCCGATTCCTTTAAAGTCTATAATTTAAAAACTACACGACGATTTTTTTATTTTTCTGATAACTATTCTTAATGACTTGGCCTATCCGCCGATTCCGTCTTGACGTCGACTTCTGCGTCACCACGTATATGAGTAATCTTACGTAAAGTACGATAGATATGGGAGATTATTTTGTAAAATAGGCTAAGTAGCTCAAAAGAGTGCATCCGAGTAGTCAATAGTGTGTTCCTAAAGTTAGTATTAAAACTGGGGTTCTAGATATTTCAGAAAAGTTCATTAAGCCAACGGTAAACGACCTTCAACACAATATTATTCGTGTCCGTTTGCGACATTTAATCAGGCATGTCTTCAAAATAAGTCATGGATATGATATCAAAATATAGAACTGTTTGGCGAAATCCTAATCCAACGCATTTGTATAGAGAAAATAAACATTGCACGGTTTTTTGACGTGTCCATTTATCTTATTATCATATTTTTCACTATAAGCGCACCTGTAAGAGGATTAATATTTAAAATGCCATCAGGTCAACAAGGATCAAAATACGAAGTGCACTTCAATTAGGCTCGCTTTTCTTTATTGATGAAGACGAAAATTATATATGCACATCAGAAGATATGCAAGATTAAAGGAAAACCAGCCAGCTTGTTTTTCTGTGCAAAACCTGGCTTGCTAGATTGAGTCAGTCACATTAGATCACCAAGGCTAGGATAATCCGCTCCGTTGTAACTGCTAGTATGTCATCGCATGGCAGATACAACGACTTTTTAATAACAGGCCCTACAATGAGCAACGCCTTCCATGATTCACCCACTTTGCATAATTCAGCCCCAATACGCTGTTCAAACGGAGTCACCAAACTTCGACCACTTAGAGTCACCAAACTTCGACCTCTTGAGTCTGCATATTCAAAGCAACCAGCAGATCGCTCATCTGGGAGCTGTGCCCCCCACCTATTGAAAAACTGACTGACTCCTTAAATATATATGCTTAGCACAGACAGGTACCATTATATACCTTCAAGACTTGATCCCCATGAGGTTTGCTACCGCCAGCGCTTTAAAAATGTTTGTGGATTGATATATAATCATACAAAATAATCTCCATTTGCAGATGTCTAATCGCACTTTGAGAAGAATTTCTGCGGGCGTCCAAGGTATTTCTTATATAAAACAGTCTACTAGAAGAAGCTTTCAATATATTTACTAACTCTTGGAACAAGTGTCTAAATCGTGTTAACGGATACTTATCTGCTGATAAAGCTCCCATCAGCTAGGTTATACAAAAGTTATTTATATTGTCACCATTGCCAGTCAACAAGGGTCTCCTGTTGTATTTTTGAATGATGGATAGACATCGATTCCAGTTTCGCATTTTCGCAGGAGCAGGCGATGAAGATGCTCGACAGAATTGCGAACAAACCTTGCGACACGAAAATAATTTGTTCAACGAACTGGATAATTTTGTGTTAAGACTAGAAAAAATCGTTTTTATGCCACTGGATTATTTGAAACGACTGTTGGAGTGCGGTTCTATGTGTCACAGTCCACAGTTTTTCAGAGTATTATTTTGTTACACGAAGAATTCCTGTAGTCCAAGCATTTATTAAAATAGCCGAAACTGAGGAGGAAAAGAGATTTGTTCCTAGGAATTACTTAATTAATTCAAGACTTCGTTTGTCTTTTTATTCTCATCTATTTATTGAAATACATCCTCATCAACCCTATCAGCATCTCATTCTGTCGACGCGAAAGATTAGCAGATTACTTTTTCCAACTTACTCCCCCCCGCTGGTTGTTTTTATAAAGTAAAATTTGTGTATGCCCTGTTTTGACTTTTAACACCTTTTTGACGGATTTGACAGAAGTCTGAGATTTGTAGCATCAAGAATACAACCGACAAATTTGAACTATGGACATAGATTTGTTGAAAACGTGCATCGACCATAGTTTAAATTTAATATTGGTCAACGGCTATAAATGCCCCGTTAGGGCGCATCAAGCGAATTGAAGCGGCCATCGGGTACTCATGTAGGTTTTAGGTTTCATGAGCATAACAGGGCTAGACTATAGTCGAGAATATACACTAGATCTCAGTCGACAGCTTGTGACAAGGATGAGACTAGAGTCGGTGGACCGCACATAGTACGAAAGGCAAAGGTGGGCTTTGTGATGGATGTCATATTATGGGTGATCTGTCGCCTAATTTGGTCATCTCAAGCGGCTATAGCTATTGATTGTCACCCGAAGAAGTGCCATTGTTTCAATTATCGGTACGATACCAAGCAAATATTAATTTCGCTCATCGATGCTTTCGTTTGGAAAATTTAGAGCATAAGCATATTTCTGCCACAATCGAAATACTTATGCGTTTTTGTGGATTCAAGATGCTTTACGAGCACAACGTATAAAAATGCATAGGACTTGTTGTAGAACGTAAAGTAATAAGTTACAAGACATAATTTATTGGGAGCTCTGGAATATTTGTTAGTACTTTACGCGCAAGCAATTATCTGGGAACTCATATCAACTACCCCATCTCTCGCTCGGTCAATCCGACCCACATGTTTTAAAATGACATTTGGCTTGAGTACATCTCGTTCTATTTGTTTAGGGCTAACATTTACTTTTCTCCGCACAACCTCCTCACTCTGTACAAGGCCCAGATAATACCTGGTACTCGGATACTGTTCACATGTTTGGCAGATCAATGACACTTCTCCAACGGACAGTCTCGGGACTTGTTCGCACAGATGGGCGGTCGGTGACCTACCGCTATTTCAACAGGCTTTGCTACATGATGCAGGCGCACGTTGAGCCTGCTAGACGAACCCGTCAAGCTTCTGCCTCCCACCCCATCTCTGTTGAACTTCGCACATCGAGATCTGCCCAGTATGACCACTCCTTCGTTCTTCTGGTGTCAAGATTGTGTAACAGTCTGCCTCATGAGGTTTTTTCCTTTTCTGCCAACCTTAATCAGTTCAAGAATCGGATTAACAATGTGTCTTTAGGTTCCTTATAGTTGTGGCGGTCCTCCTGTAATTAGGTTCCTACTTACAATAGTACATAAAAAAAGTGATTTGGTACAATTTAGTACTTCAGCGATATAAGTAGTAATGTACGGATGAACTATACTGGTCTTGTGGACTTGATTTGACTTGAACACGTCTTGTCAATATCAGGAGATGCTGAAAGGGAGTAGAGTATTTCCAACAAAATTTTCACAGTTTTGCCAGGCTATTTAGCAACCACTATATAAAGTGAATCAAGAAAAATAGCTACCACATAATAAACATGTTTCTGAAAAGAGAGATCCGGCCATTTCACAACACATTTCAGATTATGGCCATGTTTTATGTTTATCCAAAGGAAATGGATGACAGAAGCTTGAAGGTTTATTCCATTATGGCATTACTCTTACATATTTGTTTCTTCACGTTTATCATATTGGGTGCAATTTTGCATTTCATAATAGTTATAAAAGGTAAGTTGTAAGCTACTACTTGTATTTTTCAAAGCATGACCTACTTGTAATCATAATTTCCATATATCCTTTTCTTGATATCCGATGTACGAGGAAATATAAATAAAGTCTAAACATTCTTATTTAATGCAAAAGCTTGCCTGTATGACTTATCACAAGTGGATCTATTTACCCTTACCCAAAAGCGTAGGCGTAGGAAATAAAACTGATTATCAATGTTTCAGGCGAGGTTCCAGTGGACACGACAGAAGACCTATCAATGATTGTTGGAGGTCTTAGTACTTTATATATCTCTGTAATGAACTCTGTATCATACAAGCTGTATGGATCGCTAGTGTCTGCACTCACTGACTTCAAAAAGTTTGGAAAACCCCAAAACTTTGACAAAGTGTCCCGTAGATTGAACTTGTTCTCTGGCTTGTACTTCTACTATTGTTTTGTTGGAGCCATCGCATACGGTATGGGATAAAGAATATGTATTTTATTGTTAAACTCAAACTTTTATGAAGACCAGCATCATCTCACTACCACCATTACTGTAAGTTGGATTGTGCGGTAATTTTGACGTTGTTTTTGATAAATGTGATAAGAGTACTCAGTTTCATAGAGCATCATCTTCTGAACTCTCTTCTAGGACCATCAAACGGTATATTTTCAAAACCATCCGAAATCGGTACTTATGAGTTTCCGATTAATATAGCAAGTGCTTAGTGAAAATGAATCTGAAGGTATACAAGAATATGGGACGTCCCAGAAAAAATTCCGAATCGTTTTTATTAGACTAGGTGTAAAAATATACTAAGTGACATATAAATCCGAACACCCAGTTTAAATGGCTTTATTTTAATAAAAGTTGGTGAATGTATTTATCTTACTGTAAGTAACAAGTGAAAAAATTTTTAGCCTTATCAGTTGGACATTCCGGTTTTTATACTGCTTTTTTTTAATTCACTAACGCTCTAAAAATGAATATTTCAGTCGCAGTAAAGAATCAACGTTGGCGGATTTTGGTTCTTGACATCCTTTACGATCGGTTACGATGCCTAGAGTACGGAGACCTGTACGATTTCGTCAACTTAGTGAGTTTGATAGGGGCCGTATAGTGGGACT